GGCGACCTGCTGGCGGGGGAGACGGACACGACGATCTCCAAGCTCGGCGGTCTGGCCTCCTCAGAGCTCGACGGCGTATCTGCAGCCGGCCACATAGCCTCTACACTGGGCATCAACCCACACGCGCTCCAGGTACAGCTATGAGCTCCGCCCACAGGAAGTGCATCACAAGGCCTGTTGTTGTTTTGGTGAATAATGCATTTAATACATAATGTTATATAAATGCAATCATTAACGTGACTGGTAGGAAATGGTTTGAGTCACGCGGCGATCCGCTCTGACCTTCTTTAGTAAACATGTTTAAACATGTTTCAGACGTGTGAGGCTACATCAGGGGGTTACCGAGGCAACCAGAGCCTGTTTACTTCACTCAGTTTGTCTCGTCTTCAGATCATGAAGGCGTCTCTGTTTGCTGAGGACGACGATGACACCGACATGTTCCACGATCACGCGGCGATGAAGGTTTCCACGGATGTCTCGTCTCCTCGCCTCGTCCTGCCGGCCGCTCAGGGCCGACCCTCTGGTACGAAACGCCCGCTCGCTCCCTCACAGTTTGAGGCTTCAGTAAAAATGGCGGAGACGTAATCAAACTTCTGTCTCTGCAGTCGGCGGCCTCCTTCAGGCTCGGTTCACCTCGGGCCTCTCTCAGCTGTCGGACTCTCCCCGCCCTCTCCTTCCTCCATCACGGCCGTCTCCAGCCGGCGTCGAAGCCCCCCGCTCTCTGCAGTGGGCGGGGCCTGGCCCGTCCCCCTTCATGCTGCCCTCCCGGACTCCGGAGCCTTCATTTAGGACGGTTGGCGTTCGGCGGCTCGGCGGCCCCGTCCCCCTCAAGGAGTCGATCACTCACGGGAAGGTTGGTGCTCAGGAGGTCGGAAACACCTCGAGTGCTCAGAGTGACATCACGTGTCACTGAGTCCTATTAACACTTAGAAACCCAGTTTAGAGGTCAGAGGTCAGAGTCTGTAAAGCTTCATGTGAACGGCAGGTTTTCCCCCGAAGCTCAAAGTCGGGCCGCTGTTTTTCAGGGAGGTTTACTGATGGACACCGGGCTGTTCGCCGTGCGCTCCTTCCGGGTCGGGTGGGGTCCCGGCTGGACGCTCGCACACTGCGGCAGCCGGCTGAGCTCGCCAACGTCCAAGCAGTTCGAGCACCAAGAACTGACGGCAAAGACGGACTTCAGCTTCCTGCCGAAACCTGCCAGGAGCAAACCGTAAGAGCCACGAACACGCCGCACGCCAACACATCAGCCAGGCTGCGTCTATAGTTACCATGACAACATGGCTCCATCATGTAAGGTGAACCGTACAGGCACATTTGCATCTGCCTGTACGGTTCACCTTGATGTAATGTGCTGTTGATCTTAAATGGTTTTACTTCCTCGCCGGCGAGCAGGGCGAGGGGCGCGCCCTCCACAGATCAGCTCCATTAAACTGCTTGATTTGGTTCTGCAGACTCACAGA